ACATATTTGATATATTTTTAATTGAAAATAATTTGTGATTGCCAAAATAAATTTTGTATATTATGAATTAAAATATTTTTCAATCTGGGGAATAATATAATAAAAAACTAAAATATATACATACATATATCCAAAATATTTTAAACATAACTCTAAATAAATTGCTGATATGCTTAACTTTCATTCGTACATCATAGTACTCATAGTCTGCATGCGTGTGTGTGTGTGCTTGTGTGTGTGAGTGAGCTGGCTTTCAGTATGGCATTAGGCTTGGCGCAGTTCACGGACAGTAAGTCACGCCGCCGTCTTGTCTGTCAAATGTGGTCCGAATTGGCTGACTTTTCACATTTGACCTGCCCACGTAACGCGTTTGCTGCACACACAGACACACACACACACAGAGTCCTTCGTGTGTGTGTGTGCGTATTTGCAGTTATAGTTGGCACTCTGCTGTGCAGTGGGAGGGGGAGTTGCCAGAACGTGTGATTTATAATGCTCGCTACGCTGCTGCTTTGGTAAATTACTTTTGCACACGTTGAACTTAAACAACATCACATATTTTTGACGCACAAAAGTTGAGCGATTTTTATTTTATTTCGCCATTTATGAAGAGCAGAAAAACGAAAAAAAGGAAAAAAAAAAACAAAAAGCTAAAATCAAATAACAACGTAGCACTTGGGCGTTAACGACTGCCGAATACTCATTCATCACCCAAATATTGTCAGATTTGCTATGCCCCCAATAAAAATTATTTCAATCTCCATAAAACAATAATTTAACAGTAATTTAACGGTTAAAATACAATTTTAAATGACTTTAAATGACTTTCTTATTGGCTTTGAACTGTGAATCTGTGAATATTCCAAATTTCAACACTCTACCACTAACTAAGATGGGGTAGAGTGCATTCCTAGATTTGCCACGCCCCTAGTGTGCGGATCGAGTATAATACTCATAAATAAGAGTATGTCTTTCACATTTCAAGTCACGGCGAGCATTGCCCAAAACCAATATGCTCAATTAATTTCCGTGAATGTGTATGAGCGTCGACAACAACAAGTTAAAGCTGTGCTGCTTTAACAATGCTGGAACGAGTCGGAATACTGAAGCGCAACAAGGCATGCCATTAGGTGCTGGCCAAGTATTTTGATTTTGTGGCACGCTCTCAGGCGCGGCCAAAAGTCACTTAGACATTAGCCCTCAAGTCGAGCCCAAATGACCTTCAGATGGCAGAGCATATACCTATGTACATGCATATATACAAACATATACATGTATATATGCCTATATATATACATATGTATATATATATTGTATATGTATATACTCCGATAGTTGCTGTTTCGTTGCTGCTGCGCATCGTCCCATTTAAAGGCAAACATTATGTTGAATATTCAATTTAATGTAGCTTATAAATCATGTAGATCCTTTTGCTGCTTAACGCCTGTCCACTGTCTCGCTGCGTCCATTTCCCTTTCCCCACTGCTGCTCGCATTCCTCCACTCACCAGTCCCCACTCTCCCACTCTCTCTTTTCTTGATTTCGTTTATTCTCTGACAGTTTTTGTTTGGTCCTTGCCTTTGGCCGCTTTCAAATTCAAGTAGTTTCCTTATCGCTTCACTGATGGCTCGCTCTTTCAGCTCTCACATATTGATAACTCCTTTCAGTTTGATTAACTGGCCAGCAGGCGTGCACAGCCATCGGGGCGTTGACCAACACTGACACAGCACAAGTGCCAAATGGAAAACAAAGCTACTCAACAGCAGAGCGCATGGCGTAGATAAGCTCAGCTATTTCTGTATGCCTCCTGCCGGCACTTCAATTACACCCGAAGCAAACTAATTAACATATTGGATTAGTCTGTTTTGCTTAATGTAGATACAAACATATATCTGTATATACATATGTATACATGTATATATGTGCGTGGCTATTTGGCTTTTTCATTTTCTAAATGTGTCAATAAAACCTGTTGGATTATGTTAATATAGCTGTAAATTAGAGAGGCCAACTGCAAACAGCCTTAAGCGGGCTCCATTTGCAAGTCGAAATAATAGAAGTAGAATCGAGCAGTTGTAGACATAAGACGGATATAACTCATATATGTATATGTAGTGTAGACTTGTTTATATTTAGCTTTCCATATACTACATATGTAATGTACATATAAAATTATATTCAATTAATGCTCTGAGCCACTCAACTCAACTAACTAAACTTAAGCTTCTTTCGACCTTAGACAGTTAAAGCGAAACTAATAGAATTACTTTTGAATTATTTCAATAAGCGCATTAAAAATTTGCGTAAGGTAAATTTCATAACCAATTTCGCTGAAAAGCAACAAAAGTCGAAAAAAAAATTAAAT